CCACAGGTCCACTCAAAACACCTTGACCTATATTTATGCATTAGTACATATATGCACCTCAGGCCTCAGTCATGATGCGCTCGCTGGCATAGCCTCACTACACCTAGCTTCATGTATAGTACATACCAGGGTTCCGTTCACCTTCGAATGTTATTTCTTCTCTTGAAAATAGGCTTCGAACGTCTCAGCGATGTCATATTCTTGAAAGCCTGGTGGATAGCTGTCCGTTTGTGAACGAATCTGTGCGCAGGTCAAGCACGACTTTTTCAAGCGGCGTCAGCGCTTGACAACCGTTGAATGTCCAGGTCGAAGGAGAAACTGTTTGCGATTTTGGTCTAGCTTGACTCGGAACGTGCTGGATTGAGAGATAGCTTGTGATGCGAGGCAGGCAATGTATCTCTCCGGTATGAGGAAACTGAACCCCCACAAATTGCGTAGTGAGGAGAGAAATGAACTATCGCAATGCTGTGGAGCTCAGAAGGTATGCGTTGGAAAAAGTAGAGCACAATTGCAAAAGGAGGAGTCTATAGATAGACTCCCGGAGACGCGAAGAATGCACCGGATCTGTATTATGTGGCCAAATTAAAGTTTTCATTTCATTTCTGGAACGTTCAGCGCTCAGCGATGATGCGCCCACTGGCATAGCCTCGCTGCAGCACCTTGGCCTAGGTTTACTCCATAGACGAACAATGCAGGCGGACTGATAGTGATAGCGAATGTTTTATTTGGAGTTGGAGTTACGCTGGGCAATAGGCTATGTGCTGTCTTGTTGGTAGGTTATATCCTGACTGGTGAACATAGGCTCGTGATCACTGATTTACTACCAAACCATGGGATTCTTTCGCAGGGAGGAGATAGTCGTCTGAATCTGATCTTCGGACAAAGATGGAAGGGTACGTGGAGGAGTGGCGTAAGAAGTAATATAGGCCAGAAGACAGCTGTTGAACTCGGAAGGTTGTCTGACCCAGTCGAGGACGGAGATGTCCCCCGACCGAGCTACGATCTCCTGCAAGAGTCGCCCGAGCGCGTTCTGCTTCTTCTCGCCAGAAATGACAGGTAGGTGGACACCGAAGATACCAAACAGTGAGTATGCGACGTCTTCTTGCAATGTGGTGACGCGAGATTACGTTCACTGAAATATCTTTCGAGCGTCGCTCATCCCAGGACGAAAGGAGTTCAGGGCCCGTGCATCTATTCCTGTTGCATCCTCTAACTCCTGCATGATTACGGGGGACTCTTTGTGGTTGGGAGAGCGATCGTCCAGATATAATGACCAATCCTTTTGATAGAAGATAACAACTTTCGAAGCGACGAATTCTTGAAAGGTCCATCCTCGCTAGTTTCAAACAGTGCACCGGGTTGGGAGGGACATCGCAGAGGTAGACGATGGTAAGCGCTGAATGACGATACCAGACGAACATAGAGTTAACCGATTCTTGAAGCTCGGTGTTGCTCTTGTCGATGCAGCACGTGTCCATCCAAGCCCAGCGATATCCAGCATCACAAGCGACATTGCGGAACGACTACAGTTTCACGATCCCAGCAAAACCCAGCAAGTGCCTTCAACTCATGCACATCTTTATCTTGAATGTCGTGCAGTAGCGCCTCCATCTCCTCCCACCTGTGTGATAACAGGACGCAACGGAAGTACGTTGCCCTACATCTTTGATGCGCTCTGCTTGGAGATTCGAATCCGTCGTTGGAAATGAGACAAGCTCGTTGTACTCTGGACTCATTTTGAAGGCGTTTATTTGTGCCACTCTATCGCACAAAAGACCCGTGAAGGTATTCAGTAGACGTAGCGGGGGATATTCGAGTTCAATCCGAACAATTCTTTGAATGGCGTCTTCTGCTTCCGGTGAAGAGACATACTGCTGACGCAGATCTACAGAACGAGATAGGCATTTCGGGATCATACAGAAGTTTCCCATGGCTTACCTTGTATCTGAGCTTCGGGAGAATCATCCAACTTGGACAACATGATTTTGAAGGCCTCAATAGCTTCGTCGTAACGTTGCGCGCAGCAGCGCTATATGTATCAACTCATGTGAGACAAAGGATTGAGTTCGATGACCTATGCATCACCGAAGGCAACACGGGCTATGGAAACATAGATGCCATCGCACCTTTCGCGCATCGGAGAAGTGCTTCTGTCCATAGCATTTTTGCCAACCTTGCCTTGCTGCGCTTTACAAAGATGGCATCGGATGCAAATGTCAAGTCGATCACTGCCGAGTAGAGGGCAATCGCCCTGTCATAATCGTTTGCAGCCAGCGAAGGCAGTATCTCCATTGGCAAGACAGAGCGCGCTGTATTCTTCCGTGAAAGCTGAGTGAAATGTAGGTGAGGATTGTAGCCTGGGCGATATTATGAACTCCAGACTTACCATTGGACCACTCAAGGTATTCGGCCTTGGTATTTTCATCACTCGAAATCATGATATACTAGTATGATCTCACGGCATCTGGAAGTTTACATGCCCGAAGGAGTGCATCACAACGTTTATGGTGTGCAGTGAGCCACAACGATTTAAGATCCCAACCGAAGAGCTGAACAAGAGACCTGGTTATGAAAAGTTGATGAAAAGCGTATCGAATACGTATCGATGTACATCACTACGTGTAACTTTGGAAATAATCACGTGATCGCATAAGTTTCAACACCACCCATGTTGTGATGATCAGGTGAAATACATCTGTGCCAATCGACCTTGTCTCGCAAAGCAATGATCGATGTATCTTAAGCTTGTCCGACGGACAAGCCGCGTACACTGCCAATTTCTACTTCGAGAAGCAAGTCATGCGCTACCTGCATTCGCAACGTGCCACTGCCAACTAGTGCATCTGCAAGAGCGTATGCCAGCTCACCCTTCACGACGCGATTCTCTCGATGACGAAATTTGATGAGGCAGATACAAAAGCTTGGTCGTGAGGGCCGGTGTCCGGTGTCCGGTAATTGCTGAAGTTCTGGCTAGGTTTTCGTTTTTCTTCTTGCCAATACCCATGGTGAATTTTACTATCCTCGCAGGAGGATACACCTCCTTCATCGCCTCGTATATGTTCAATAGCGAGACGAACGATTTGACATACTTAAACCAGTACATCACTGGCGGCAATCCAACTTGGATAATCTCGCACCCTACGAACAAAAGTGTTCTTTAGTACGTGTCCTCCTCTTGTGTTAGTCACTATGCGCGTGTTCACTGATGGCTTTGATTGATCATGTAGTGCAGTCAATGAGAATGAACCTACAGGCGCACTACAATCATTCGCGGTCGGGCCTGAAGGAGCACTCACCCTCGTCGAAACTGCATACTCTGGAGGAAGTGGCCCGCCGTATTGTAGCGGTCTCTCCACGGGTCAGGTAGCCATTGTCAACGTACGCCACAATTTTTTCTTTTTCTTTTTTAAGTCGATGCTGAATTTATAACAGTACGGCTCCGGAACTGCGCGTGTGATCCCCACAACAGATCCGCTGCATTTCTCCGCCGATGATAGCACCATTGTGACATTTCCTGTCCCAACCGCTGGAACGCAGGGCGTGTCCGAACCACACATGGTATACCAATACAGCGAGGAGCTCTTGATCCCTGACAAGGTACTTTTTGGGACCTTTCATCTGTGATTTGTGGCCTTTTTACTCACCACGAGCGGCTGTTTAAAGGGCAACGACAAAATCTGGCGTCTCGGCCAGAACGGGTCACCAGGTGATTTCTCAGTACACGGTCAAATCGCGCAGCCGATCGGTAGCGGCCCACGGCACATCCAGATCTACGGTAAGCACATCTTCTTTCACATTCTCTCTCACTAAGCCAGCATACAGAGAACCAGCTCTACACAATCCATGAGCTCGCAAGTACCTTGACACTCCAAGACTTCCCGGCATACCCCAACTTCTCCACTCCCATAATCTCCAACGTTTCCACTGTCCCAAATTATCAACCCGCAGGCTCCAGCTTCGCAGCTGCCGAAGTCCTTATCCCACTTCCAACAGCCGAGTTCCCGACCCCTTACATCTATACCTCGAACCGCAACACTGGTGTACAGGACCCACGTGGGGATACGATCGCCATTTTCGAGAAAGTGGATAACCAGTTGGTACTAAGGAACCAGGTATACACGGGCCTGAACCAGATTCGCGGTATGATGCATGGGCAGCAAGCCGGCGAGGGAGGTGATGCATATATTGTGGCCGCCGGGTTTGCGGGTACTGCAGGCGTCAAGGTGTACAAACGAACGGAGGGAGGAGCGAACTTGGAGGAGGTTGCAGTGAATACAGAGCTTCCGACGCGGACGAGCTTCGTATGGTTGAAACAATAGAGGATAAGATACACTCGGTATTAATGCAGACAGTCTGCTGTCTAATCGAGGTGCGATGCAAACGCAAGTAACAATGACCTGAATGTGGAGAGAAAAGGCTCTTCGTGAGTACTAATACATAAATTGATGATACCTTAGAGAAGAGATAAGTACGACGTTGGTTTAGCGCTTGTATGTTATAGCGCTGCAGTGAATCTATCCGAAGAGAGGACGAACGACTACTACGTATTTTCATTCGTCAATGGTCTGCCTATCCATCCTGTCAGGGCCACTTAAACACTTCATAAGCACTGAATTTTGGTGCTATATATTGAGTTGAAGTGCATTCAACGCCCTCAGGCAATTCAGACACTCGACTATCATTCATCGCAAATATTTTGTGTCTTGTCACGTGCCAAGGTGTTATGCCAGATCAGTGTTGTGCAACTCCATTCCTACTCACAAATCATCAGCTTGAGTGCACTGTAAGAGCGACCTCTGGCACCGATGCCAACAAACCGGAAATACAAATTGAAGTCGAAATTGGGTGTACATATCGTGTAGGTCTACAGTCTCAAAGTCTGGAACATCGAATTCCTTGGCAAGTAACAGGTTGCGCGTGGCCATGACTGGATGCTACATACGAAGTCGTCATATTGTCTCAAGAATGCTTTGATGAAGTGGGAGGACGCACGGAATTCATTATTGCTCAATGAGCTCAAGGGCAGTCGTGGAGCGAGGCTTGATAGAACACTTAAATGGTTTGAGGTGGCTGGAAGCGTGTTTATTCAGACCAGCGCCGGACGTGATAAGAGATGCGACATACCAGGTTGAACCTGGTAATTGATCAATCTCGGGTGTAACCTTAACGCCATGCTCGACAACCTTTGAAATGTCAAACACTGCCAGTGACATTACAGTAGTTATCCAGATAGAGGCATCAGCGAGGTGGAGGCCTGCCAATGTCCAATGAATGAAAAGTTAGTGGCTCAGAGGTTCGGTTGTCAATTGACATGAGTTGGGCACACCTGGGCAAATACTGAGGAGCAGCAAGTTAGTATTCCGCTCAAAACCCACTGTATGCTTACCGTCTACCGAATCCGAAGCAGACTGTGCGAGGTTCCATCTCAGGTTCTTTTCCGTCCTCAGCCAAGAAGCGTTCAGGGTTGAATTGCGAGGGGTTAGTATATGCTCGTGGATCGTTGAGCATGAACCTGTCGCAATTAAGAATATTGCATTCTGTTCATCATTCGAAGGGGAGTACTAACCAAATGTTAGGTATCACTAAGGAGCCTTTTGGAATATAGTACCCGTCATGGATATCATCTTCAGTCACACAGTGAGGGAGACCTGTCATTGAGATATCCGTAATCAAACAGTAGTGTCATAAACGAGGTTTCAATACCTGTAGGACCGACAACGTGCCAGCGGAGGACTTCTTTTACCAGGGCATCAGTATAGGGGAGGGAGTCGCGGTCAGCAAAGGTGGGAAGACGGTCAGGACCGACAACCACATCTATTTCAGCCTGAGCTTTCTTCTGCACATCAGGGAAAAGCGTCATAGCTAGAAAAAGCGAGTATATTGCAGAAACAGTCTGAGGAAATAGGTTCGGTACTCTCAGAAAATGTTGTAGGGAAGAACAAACCGTGTCAGTACCACCGGCGTATAGGGAAAAAGCAGACCATTTCACGGCGTAGTCCTCTTCTGCGGACACACCACTGCCTTCCAAGAGATTCGAGGTAAAAGATACAGGGGCGATGCCAGCAACCTGTAGAATTTGAACTTTAATGCATATTCGCAAGACTGAAAACTGGTCACCATCTGGTCCTTGACGAACTGGTGGGGTGTAGAAACCATCTCTTCGAGGGCCCCACGCCATTCACATGCTATGCGCTTGAAGCCAGCACCGGGAAACCACGCGGGGACCTTTGCCACTAAAATCGTCAGGTCGTCGAAAGCCAATGCAAACGTCAGGATAATATAGCTCACGGAATGGTACAATATCAACTATAAAGGCACCAGGAGCCAAGGCCCGCGAGGCATGGGTTAGAACGCGGTTGGCGAGGTCAACGAAGGGATCATCTTTCTCTTTCACTTCATAACCATGAGATATGCGCAGAGTGACAGCGCCAACCGTACTATAGTAAAAAATCAAGATCATGACAATATTACGAGGATAGATAATACATACTATCGGATATGCTCCTGCAGTCGATCAGGTTTCGCAAGCACACATTTCAGGAATCGACCTCCTCAATTTCGTTGTATACGTCCACTGCGGCGCGACTGCCGATGACGCGATGTAAGTTCTTGCGTTGCTGGCGAAAACGGTTGCCATAAGGAAGTAAAGCCAAAGAGTCATTTCAGCCCACAAGTTCGCCAGCCATAGGAAGAACAGGACGGTCAGAGTACAAAGTGCTTTTACTGTCCATCATATCCATTGCAGTCTTGACAGAGTTCAGCACAATGATGTGCCGACCCAGAACCTCGATATGCGTGATATCACCTGCAAAAAGGACTTTTGAGAATGGATGGTTTTGGAAAAATGGGAGACACTCACCATACTTCTTACCCCACTTGGTAAATGTAATCCAGGCCTTGATGCGAGGCATATCTAAAACATTGCCAATGAGAGGCCACCCCCTGGGACCAGGTGGATATGGTGCAGGATTCTTCTTGATGACCGTCTGCTTTACCAAATAGACTCCCACTGTGACACCGGTGAGGTATAGTAGGTCCAGCCAAGTAACGTTGGTGATTGTCAACATGGTCTACTACTAGCAGAATATGAGCAACTCGAGAACGGGGACGTAGAGCGAACGATCAGATAAGAGGACATCGTGTTTACAGCTGTTTGCAAAAATGATGCGCATGAGTACACTGTTAACGGCATTGGAACATGGCGAGTTCGAACACGTGTATCGATGAGGGACACTAGCTGCCAAATTGAGAGTTTGTCCATGGAAAATTCCAGGCGCTCGATAGAGGACAATTTAACAACCTTGAGTTTCTCTTTCTTCCGCGAGCAACTGGGTTTGATGCGCTGATGAAATACATGGCATTTCGAGAGACGGTGATGTCCACAAATAATGAGCTGTAGGCAACATAACAAAATTTAGATCTGAATATGGAAGATAACGAGAAACAACTCAGGCTGCTCCATGCGCTCAAGTCAGCCAGAATATTTCCGTTTGTCTTCCAACATCAATGTCCTCTTGGTTGATGTGTTTGCTGCACTGCACGCTAGTATAAAACACACATGCATGCTTCCGTCGTCCAGGTCTAGGCGTGAAATTGGTACTATGATATGCACACTCTACGATTCATGAGTGAGTTCGCTGCAGGAGCTGGACCTGCTCGTCCTTGTTCAACCCCATGCGGCCTCTCCAATGGCGAGGACAAATAGGTATTTCGTCGATGTTGCGCGGGCGCACTGGTAATGCCAGAATAGCATCTAGAATTTCTGGAACATCTTCGGGCTCTACTTCACCTAGCCTGTATGATTAATATCAGATAAACCCATGCGAAATAACACAATTAGAAGGCTTCAAACATACCATTCTCCGTGCGGGTACACAAGGAGATTTGCTGCATATCTAGAATGGTGTATGAGCGACCAGACTTGGCGAAATGGATGTGACGTGTGCATACTTATGCCCTCCGACATGTGCCACTTCTGCAAGTTTAATGCGATTGCTAGGATCACTTGGATTTGTATCTCTGCGCTTGCGGAGTTCATCCCTTATAGCCTGGGCAACTGCTCCCCCAATGTCTCCGCACCGACAATCTCGCGCACCATGAGTACAGACATATAAATGCACATCATCTGAATTCGAGGGCGTAGTACCAGAGACACCCTCAGCATGCACCCTCAACTGTTCTCCCACCTCCTCGATATTGTCCATGGACACAGTAGCCTCAAGCTTTCCCCGCGGATACGCAAACGCCGTCAGACAATATTCCTGCTTGTCTTCCTCCCCAGGTGGTCGTGTACAGATAGATTGTTGGTCCTCAGACCACGAAAAATTGACAGACCCACCCCATTTAGCAGCGCGTAGAAGGAGTGCGCGCTGGATGGGGGTTGCGTACTTGGCGGGATACTCGCTGGGTGGCTGTGGGGTATGCAAGAAGATGTAGCACCGGTGCGAAGGTGCTGTGCCAACGAGCTCTGATGTAGACTTTGCAGTGGTGGATAGCGACCGCGCGAGCGTTTTGAGCACACGGAAAGCTGGCATAATCATATAGAAGACCGAGTTGTGAACTGATTCACTGCGGTTGGGGAACGTGATCATACACGTGACCGGCGCGACCGGATCATGAATGATAGTCTCTTCAAGAGTTGAACGTGAACTTTGAACATGAGGCATGAAGCACGTCAAATTTGAATGTAATATAGCCAGGTTTGGCCCATGCAAGCTACAATGACAATGGTAATGCGTGTCTCATGACAACGAAAGCGCGATAAGTACTACTTAATCGCTGTACCACTGGCAGGGACATTGGCAACACATCGCTCCTGACCTAGGACTGTGTGAATCAGACTAACATTGTCTAACTCTACTGAATTGACATTCATAAGGATCGTAACCAATGTGAAGGTCTTGCGAGTATCACCGTGAAAAGGTTTCTGAGATTTCAATGTCACCCCTGCTGGTTCTGCTATAGACCCATTATTTGTGTCGCGTGTGCGCAGTATTCGATTTCCGTCTCGCAGACCAAGTCTTTTCGACTGGGCATGTTGCTACTGTGATTGGCGTGTTACATATCTTGCCGTCATCCATTACCTGGATTTCTCGAACTCTTTCAGCAGCCACGTCAGCGATATTCCCTGGGACTCGTTTCAAGATGTCAATATACAAGCTATACCACAGACCCCTCATCTTTCGGACTGGTCTGATGTCTTCCTATCTGCAATACCAACACCACGAAACAGACGACAAGTGATCCAGCGAAACCTACGGCACCACGCGTCCATTGGCTTTCAATTTTGAAGACCAAATCGCCGAAGCCTGCAGCAAAATATATCAGGCTATTGCGAGAGAGAGTTCAGTAACAACATTCTTCATGCGGTAACATGAATGCTTACGCCCACACCAACAGTCCATATGGCAAGCTATACATTATGGCTAGCACTTCCGTGCCAAAGAAAGACTGTTCCACATATGTCAGAAGTGCGACCTGTCCTCTGGGTCAGTCCTTGATGGAACAATAATATTTAATTGGTTCTCGTACAGCTCGCTCGCAATCCCTTTTCTGGTTTTGACGAACCAGAAGAAGTACGAGGAGTACAACTGCAATGCTGCAAACTACTGATATGTAGCTTAGTAATCCGGCGGTGTCTGACACAGATGAAATCGCAAGAAAAGCTATGTTAGCATTGAGAATAACTGTTGCCTGGAGTAAGTCGTAAGCGTTGCTGACTGCACATATTTTAATAACAATTTACCGAAAGGGCAAGTCCAGTCCACTCGTCATTAAGTTTGTCGATGAATTGATTCCACAGGACGCGATTAATGATGCTATCAACCCATATCACCTTCAGATCTTCTTGGTGGGTACGAGGGGAGCCAAAGAGCAGGAAAGAGGTAATAATGAACAGAAGCGACTGGTGATCATGGCCCTTGAAGTAGATTGTCTGGTCAGAATCCAGCCTTGCACCCGGCTGTCCACAGAAATTGAAAAACTTTGCTTTGACTACTGTGATATTAGCGAAAGCCGGTAGAGTCTTTAGTTACGCACTGAACTCGGACATAAATCGAGCTGAAAGAAGATGGTTCAACATACTTCGCGAAGCACATCGTTCAAGATGAAAACACACCCACGACACATCTCGTGTGCGTAAATTGTCCATCGAGGGTTCCTACCGTAGAAAACATCAGTCATCTGAATCATGTTCGCAAACCTTTACCAGTACTACCTTCGATGCTCATAACGAGGTCCAGCATCTTTTCCAGCTCCTCTTTCTCAAACGGAGCGACACATGTCACAGACGTGATGGTCACTGTGAGATTCACAGACATCAATGTCTCGCTCGAAAAAATGCAATGTGATATCGAAAATCACCTGCTGCGGCATGCATAATCATTTGTTTTAGTTCCTCGAGAACAACTGGTGTCACTCGATTTTCATGTGGAAACAGTTCACAGTGAGTCCTTGAAGTTGTTTGAGTCGGCATCAAATCTACACGAGCGGCTGACACGATATCAGAAACTGAACCCGGTCACCCAAAGTAATAAACATACCTGGACCTCACCAGTACTGAGCTTCGATAACGTATTCTGAAATTGTGCATGTTAGTATATAGAAAAATGCCGGAGATGGTCAGAAGTTACACACTGATATGACCCATATTCTTCACTCGCCTGATGTTCTCAAACAAGGTTTCTGCGTCAAAACGTTCTAGCCAGAAGATGCACCGCGTGTCTTGTTCGACAAAATAGTAGCCGCAGGTGTTCTCGTCAATATCCTCAATGACTAATTCCGTTTTGCTAGTGATATCTACGTTTGGGTTGGCCTGTGCATCGTTATATAGTTGGTCTGCGAATGCCTCGGTCGCAAGGAGGGTTGACGGCTTTGATAAGTCAGCATCAGTGTATATCCGCTACCACCTTCGTCAATAATTGTGTAGGACGTCAAATATGAACCTAGAACCTACGCGACTGCTGTCATAGTAATACAAGGCACCTTCAGGGTGCACGAGTGGTTTCCAGCGACCAGAGGGCGATTTGCTTGGCGTCGTCAGCTTACAATAGTCCAACTGCAGAAGAAGTACATACTCCTCGAACACCTTGTTCCCCGGCTCTATAAATACGCGGTCCCTCGTTTGGGGTCTACACCATAAGTAGGAATTGAAAAAGGAGGCCAAAAGCACCTTATACCGACTTACATTGTACGCTTCCTCTCATATCGATTCACATCAGATGCTGGAATAGGCCTCGCCTTGCGTATCGATGTAGTAGACGGAGATGTTGTGGATGGCGATACAGATATGCCAGAATTTGAAGGAGTGATGTTAGCGCTCGGTGCAGCGCACGCACCGCTTGCTGTAGCGACCAAAGTTGCACTAGCAGAAGGTACCGGAGATGAGGTTGTCGACTTCTGTGGGGTTACTGAGCCTCCCGGACTGCTGACTGTGATGTGAGGTACTGTTCTGTTAACGAGTGACTGCCTTAGCATCTTTTTGCTGCTTTAGAGTATTGATGGGGTAAGACATACGGTGACAATGCAGGAAGAGGATAGCTTGTTGGCAAAGTCGCAGAAGACCCTTGGAGTCTTAACCACAGGCGAAGACAGACATGATTGAATTACTACAAAGCATAGTAGAACACCACGTTGCAGACGAACCGGCGTGCCCTGATGTAGTCAAAGATGATGCTTAGCCCCCCTCTAGCACGGCTTCCGAAATTCGACTGAGAAGACATTGAAATAAATCAGTATTTAACTCGAAGGGGATGATCAAGTTTTCCCAGCCTGAAGCCAAGCGCTGAAGTACAGCCTCCAAAGTTGTAGGTTACGAGTCTAGCCTCCAACCACGTGTACAATGTTGTACATCATCGCATCCATAGAATCATACTTGATCCTTGATGCAACTGTCCTGACTCCTGGTGAATCGTGATCTGCCGAGTACTTATATTGCCATCAGCGTGAATAAGGTGAACCTTTGGACGCCATATGTTGCCTGAAAGACAGACTACACTGCCTATTACTAGTCTCCCGTATTGCTCCCGTAATGGTTTTTCAAGTTACATAAAAACTGTCATCCTTCTTTTCAAGCTGACGCGCTGACCGACAGGCTAATTTCCGACACTTCGGAGTTTACGTTTAGCTCTGCCGCTGTAGTGCGTATAGCGTTATGTGAACTGACACATATTGACAAAGCATGTCGTAGGCCAGCCATCTAATCATCCCAATCGCCACGCCTGTATATAAACAACCAACGACTATGCTTGACCGTCATATCTCGGTACCATGGGTTTCTTCTCAAAGTCATTCGACCCAGTCACTGACCTCCCAGACTTGTCTGGTAAAGTCATACTTATCACAGGTGGCAAGTGAGTACCATCTCTTTCACGACTCGAATTTATTCACATAGCTGCTTTGTAGTGCAGGTATCGGCTACTCGACTGTGAAGCACCTGGCACGTCGTGGTGCTAAGGTGTACATGGCCGCACGCAACCAAAGCAAGGCAGAGGAGGCGATCGCGCAACTGAAAGCAGAGGGACTGGGTCCTGGGAACGGCGATGTTATCTGGTTGGAACTCGATTTGAAGGACCCTCGAAATGCGAAAGAAGCGGCAGAGGTATTTATGAAGCAGGAGAAGAGATTGGATGTTCTCAGTCAGTATATGTTTTTGATCGTTCATGATTTCGGCATGCTGAATGAATCACAGTTCACAATGCTGCGGTGTAAGCTGTTCCGCTCGCATGGGCGTGATTAATACTGAATGACCTATAGGTTTGTTGATAATTACGCCATGACGCCGGATGGTAGGCCTTAGTCTCGCTCCGTAAAGATCTGCACTTACACAACATCTCAGGAGTTCAGGAGATAGTGATGGTCAAGTACGTCTTCTGACAAGAAAAAAATATGTACCAAGTACTCACCTATATTCATTCCAGTGTCATCAGTCATGTCGTTCTCACACGCACCCTCCAACCGCTGCTGGACCAGACAGCAGCAGAACCAAATTCAGACGTCCGCATAGTCGTTGTATGTGAATCTACTTCACCGCATGCATCCAGAAAACTCACAGTTCCATACCACCATCCAGGTCGCTTCAGACGCCCACCGGTTTGTATCAGGGAAACCTCGTTTCCGTAACCTTGATGATCTTAACAACGAACTCAAGAGTTCCCTTGCACCCAGCTTCGCGCGTTATTGTACGTCGGTCGTCCATTGGTATATTTTGTCTCACGAAACCCCTTCACTAGGCGTGTCGAAACTCATGAATATACTCTACGCTTCTGAACTTCAGCGACACCTCACCGCTGTTGGCTCTCCCATCACCGTCATCGCCATTCACCCTGGAGCAGTCGACACCTTCTCTCATAAATCGCCCCTCAAGTTCATCGTCAAGCCTATCGTGTCCCTCTTCTTTGTACGTCCAGACCAGGGTGCATATACCTCGGCGTTTGCAGCTGCGTCGGAAGAAGTCGCCAAGCAGCGCGAGAAGTACAAGGGTATGTATTTAACGCCACCAGGCAAGCTAACAGAGCCGACGAAGGTGTCGAGGGATGAGGGGCTTGCAAAGGAGCTTTGGGATACTGTGGATAAGTTTTTGGAGGAGAAGGGGATTTGATGGAAGATTTGTTTTATTGATGAGCTGAGATTGATGCACGACGAGCAGCCGTACCTCCAAGAGGTGTTGAATGGAAAAGGACGTCGATCTCAGCTCTACATTAAGATAGAACAATGATCTCTGTTGATGTGTTGTCATGTACACTTGCATGACACTGGTACCCATCCAGGCTGTGCGCTTTTCCCCTCATTTTGTTTAGTACAAATGCAATGCTACGTATATAATTAACTGTACACTACAAATTGTAATACACAAAGTATCTCTGTTATCTTCGCAAATCAATTTATCGGGATGAGCTCATGGTAATGAAGAACTATAAGGATCAAATTGATCAACTCCGAGGAACAGAAAACACTGGAGACTCGCTAGAACTCCTTGCGGCCTTTTCAACTCGTTCTCGTAGACCGGGATCTTCGGAGTTGGGGAGATACAATGATTTCAAATCGCAGATATTGAACGAAAGTTCATGTTTCATCACTCCAAGTGATACGAAAGCAAAGTCTCGTTGTACCTTCGGCCCGTCGACGAAGAACGCTCCGCTGTGATTGGTCTGTCAGGAAATCGCGGAAGGATACGTGAAGGGGCGGATTGGGGTAGATGGGTCGGTGGCGCCGCGAGGAGGGATCCCATGTGTTCTACTGTGACCTCCACTTTGTAACGCTCACTTTCATCTGGAAAATAGCTTCGCATGGCATTCCGGGAATTCAAAGGGAGGGGTTCGGCTGTGCCGAGAATTTGTCCCATCACGGAGCGAAACATCGCTAACTGTGTTTGCTGAAACTTGGAGCTTTTGTGTCTATCCTTTGGCATAATCTGCGTTAGAATTAAGTCATACATATCGTACAACAGGTGCTCCCGTTCGACAGGATCCCGGGATACCATGTCATTGAACGACTGATCGGAAGATAAGCGAGGAGGTGCTTCGATGGATTCGCAAGCAAGACGTGCCCACTCGAAAAGACCATCAGCTTTCTTAGCGAGGGTTGTGAACTCTTTGCTCCCAAAATATGGAAGCCCTTCCAGCGACTTTGACACGTAAGCGCAGATATCGTGTTCCGTGGCTCCTGGTGGAATTCCGTCCACGTAAATCCTTCGAATATGTTGAGCGCTCGCAAACGAATTTTGAATGTCGCGAAGCGGGTGAGAGGCAACAATAAACCGGAGGTTTTTTGGGAGCCTGGGATTCGGGTAACAGCAGGGTTCTGAAGTTTACCAGAAAAAATGCGTAAAAGGTTGCTGCGTGTCTCCACTGCCTCACCACTTTCGTCCAGTGCGTCGATAAAGATAACGACAGGCCCTATGGGTGACTCAGAAAGCTTCCCTAGTGGTTCCACAAGAAACTTCTGCCACTGCTGTACGACATCTGCTGTAGTCTTGAGCGCAGTTTCGTTCTTGACTGCATCCGCTAACACTCGTCTCATCTCCGGATGACGATCAGCCAGGTCGCGCGCGATAGTGGTGAAGACCTTTTTATAGCGATCTTTTGTGTTTCGGTCGAAGTAGTAACAAGAACCAAGTCTGCCCATCCCGATAAACGAGCTAGCGATCGTGTGAGCAACGGCTGGTTTACCAGTCCCTGCAGGGCCGGGTAGCCATAGCATGTGTGGAACATCATCTCTGTTGTCATTGATTCATCCCACGATATCGGAGAGAATGTCCGTGCGCGTCCGTCCCTGACAGGCATCGCTTAGTATCTAGTCCTGCAGCCTCCGCATAAGCCATAGCATTGAATTCCAGTATTTTACCTGTAGAAGTGTGAATGGATGTCGAGTCAGAAGCACGTCCGAATCCTTGTACGGTGAATGTAGATTGCTATGCTGCGAGCAACTTAGTCGCGGAAATTTTGCATGAGTGCATCCAACACTTTGTTATACTGTTGTATCGTATCGTCTGTTTCCGAGATGATGTTCTTTCTGAGTCTCTCCCCTAAGAGAGCGGAAATCGGAATGTCGCCTACCTGAACAGAGTCGCGGCTGTATGAATCGTTGAACTTCGAGCGCTTGTGTAAGATATCAGTCTTATCCATGGGATCCCAGTAATTGATTTTGAGTCTCGACTTACGGAAATCTTTTTGATTGCATCATTCCTAACCTTCCCCAGAAAACGACAGATTTTGCCACGGGGTCGGCCCTAAGGATGGATTATTGACATTGCGTTTCAACCATATATCAATTAATCATCCTCATGAACATCAGCCACGAGTCCCGGGCGCTCAGCAGCGTTTGGTTCGTTGGGTGTCTCGATGTCCGGAGGAGGAACTTCTGACCTCAAGCTCCCCAATTGATTGGGGTCATTCATAGTTGAGGTTAATGATCAAAGTGGTGTACGACAAGAAGTTGAAGAAAGGGTGGGCCTCGAGGCTGCTGTGTTGACTTCAGGCGCTAATTGCATTAATGGGTTGGCGGCGAAGAGTCTAAAGCCTATTCGGTGACTTCAATTGGTCAACTGGTGAAGTTAAAATGCAAACTGTCGTACTATTCCTGCAGGCTCAGGCCGGCTCCCCCAATGGCCCGGGACTGAAGTACTGACAGACTACAGTCTCCCTTTCAAGTTAAAGTTTAAGGAAAACCAAAGGAATAGTACAAGTCATCCTTTTTTCAAGCCGACGGACAGACTAATTTCCGACACCTCGGAGTTGCCTCGGAGTTTAGCTTGCTGTGGTACTTGCGTGTACACTGACTGTGACACACGGTCACCGGTACTATTGACAAAGCATGTCGGCCAATCATCTAATCATCACGACCGCCCTGTATATAAACAGCTAACTGTGCTCGACATCTACCTTTCGTTGTTTCTCCCTCTTTCTTGTTGCATTTATTTATTTCAGTACCATGGGTTTCTTTTCAAAGTCATTCGACCCAGTCACTGACCTCCCAGACTTGTCTGGTAAAGTCATACTTATCACAGGTGGCAAGTGAGTACTATCTCTCTCATGACTCGAATTTTATTCACATAGCTGCTTTGTAGTGCAGGTATCGGCTACTCGACTGTGAAGCACCTGGCACGTCGTGGTGCTAAGGTGTACATGGCCGCACGCAACCAAAACAAGGCAGAGGAGGCGATCGCGCAATTGAAAGCAGAGGGACTGGGTCCTGGGAACGGCGATATTATCTGGTTGGAACTCGATTTGAAGGACCCTCGGAACGCGAAGAAAGCGGCAGAGGAATTTATGAAGCAGGAGAAGAGATTGGATGTTCTCAGTCAGTATATGTTTCTGTTCGTTCACGATTTTGGCATGCTGAATGATTCACAGTTCACAATGCTGCGGTGTAAGCTACTCCGCTTGCATGGGCGTGATCGATACTGAATGCCCTATAGGTTGGTTGAAAGTTATGCCATGACACCGGATGGTAAGTTTTGGTCTCGCTCCGTAAAGATCTGCACTTACACAACATCCTAGGTGTTCAGGAGATAGTGATGGTCAAGTGCGTCTCCTGGCTAAAAAACATGTACCAAGCACTCACCTATTCATTCCAGCGTCATCAGTCATATCGTCCTGACACGCACCCTCCAACCGCTGCTGGACCAGACAGCAGCAGAACCAAATTCAGACGTCCGCATAGTCGTCGTATGTGAACCTACTTCACCCGTGCATCCCGAAAACTCATAGTTCCATACCACCATCCAGCTCGCTTCAGAGGCCCACCGGTTTGTATCAGGGGAAACTCGTTTCCGCAACCTTGATGATATTAACAACGAGCTCAAGAGTTCGCTTTCACCCAGCTTCGCGCGTTATTGTACGTCGGTCGTCCATTGGTATATTCTGTCTCACGAAATCCCTTTACTAGGCATGTCGAAATTCATGAATATGCTCTACGCTTCTGAACTTCAACGACACCTCACCGCTGTTGGCTCTCCTATTACTGTTATCGCCATTCACCCTGGAGCAGTCAACACCTTCAGCGATAAACCACCCCTATCTCACTTCAAGTTCATCGTCAAGCCCATCGTGTCCCTCTTCTTTTTACATCCAGACCAAGGTGCATATAACTCGGCGTTTGCAGCTGCGTCGGAAGAAGTGGCCAAGCAACGCGAGAAGTACAAGGGCATGTATTTAACACCGGTAGGCAAGATAACGGAGCCAACGAAGGTGGTAATGGATGAGGGACTTGCAAAGGAGCTTTGGGATACTGTGGATAAGTTTTTGGAGGAGAAGGGGATTTGATGGAAGATTTGTTTTATTGATGAACTGAGATTGATGCATGACGAGCAGCCGTACCTCCAAGAGGTGTTGAATGGACAAGGACGTTAATCTCAGCACTAAATTATGATGGAACAATTATCCCTGTTGATGCACGGCACTGGTGCCCATCCAGGCTGCGCGCTTTTCCTCTCCTTTGTGTAGTACATCTTTCTATTGTGTTTTACATCTTACTGTATGACATTTCTTTATAATCGATTTGTCGGCCCTTCGTCTGTTGCAATGAATGACGAACGTTGAATCAGTCCAGCTGTGCGAGTTCTTATGTATTTCATAGTCCGAATTATGGAAAGTCAGGTGGTCAATCTCTAGAAACTGGAGATCAAGAGCGCTCGAGCGGGAGTAGCCAAGACCTGTTTGAAAACTAGCATATGGTGATATATAGAAAAGCCGGGTTGCTAAGCTGCGTAAGACAGCAAGATGTCTATCATGGTAGATGATAGACTCGTAACCAGTCTGGACTACGTCTTTGATGTAATTATTTGACGTAGTCAGACTGGTCGATCCCGGAGAAATTTGGCAGGCGAAGCGAGGAGTTTGAAATTTGACAGATGCCGGTGATGCCGGAGGTGCTTGCGAACTTACAACTTGCAAGTTATGTGTCTGCTCCTGTCTGCTGCTCTCGCTCAAACTATACGCCATGTCAAGTTTCAATCATGTGCATGAGTTTCGTACGACCTTTATCGCTCGCTGCTCGAGACGCGATTGAAAATCTCCCAATGGACTTTACAAGTGCCCTTTCAACGACATAACACCAGCAAGTTCTCGAGGCCTTCTCGCAACTCAATGTTCTTTCCCAAGGATCAGTGGCGTCTGAATCTTGCGCTCATGGGAAATCCAGGGACAGGTAGGAACCCTTCTTCGTGTAATTTTCTTGCGCTAATTTAAAATTTTAACAACAGTCGCAAGGCTATATGCCTAGTTTCTCGAATTAATACAAGTACTTCTAGGAGACGCATTCACTGAGGAAACTACAGGAGCCAGCCTGGCACATGATGGCGTCAGTGGTGCAAAGAAGCTCATCGAGGACGTTATGAAAGTCGGCGATGGTGCCATATTCATCGATGAGGCCTATCAGCTACTTAGCGTATAGGGCGGGTCTGATAGCAATGTTCTGGACTTCCTGTTAGCAGAGATGGAGAACCGCATTAAAAGTCTTGTTCTCATCCTTGCCGGCTACTATACAGCCTTCAGATCGAGAAATTCTTCAGTCATAATCCAAGTCTTCCGAGTCATGTGCCGCATATATTCACCTTCGAGGACTACACCGACGAAGAGCTCCCTTTAAGTCTAAGTGCACGATCACCGAGCTAGCTGTTGCAAGATAACGACCCAGGAGCACGGATTTCCGGCCGGCGATGTTTCTCTAGTAATGCAGGCTTTCGAAATTGATATAATCATTCTCCACTCATGCGTTGCATTGATGGTGGTAATACAAAGTGCTACAGATTTGGCTGGTGTATCTTCTTTGGCGCTGTAGGTTGACTGCCAGCACCTAAAGGTGGCCACCGATGGCCTTGGGTTCATACCTGTAAAGGCGTCGTCAGTCTCATGTCGAGTAACCAAGCGAGCAGAATACGCATGGCTCTCCAGGTATTTTATTTCCTCCGGGGTGAGCTCAATTCCGTCGATGATACTCTCCTGCAACCTATGTATAGAACTGATACCAACGATAGGGCTCGACGCCTTTGATGCAACCCAGGCCAGCGCAATCTGGCTCATCTTGCAGTTTTTCTTCTTGGAAAGCTCTTCCACGCGATTGATGATAGTCACGTCCGCACTGGTCACCTTTCTCTCCAAAACAGTTCCCTTGGTAGAATTATGACGCATCGACTCTGTGCCAACGGGACGTGCGAGGAGACCAGAGCATAAGGGATAACACCGATACCGTTGTATTTGCAGTAAGCGAGCATCTCGCTTTCCTAAACATGATGCTAAACTGGAGAGCAAACGTTGTGATTTTTAGGGACACACCTTCTCGCGGTAGAGTAGCAAGTACTCATCCTGCATGCTGATAATCGTCGTCCAACCATTGCGAGAGGCCACGTCATTCAACATGGCAAACTGCCGGCAACGCATGGAACTGGCACCAATATAACCGACTTTACCGCTCTGCACGAGGTCGTGAAGCGCTTTCAAGGTTTCCTGAGGGGTGACTGAAGGGTCGAAGCGGTGTATCTGCAAGAGATTGATGTATGGAGTATCGAGACGAGCGAGGGACGCATTGATAGCGTTGAAGATTGCAGCGCAAGACGGGCCACGTACTCGGGCAGGTTATTGAGATTGGGCATGAAGAATGACGGATGGAATGATCGTTTGCGACAAGGCCATAGTATTTGGTGACGATGATGATCTGGGAACGAGGGATCCTGTACTATGGAGTTCGTACATGTAGTCCTGCAACGTCTCCCAATGCTATGTGAACTCTTCCTCAGAAAGGGTGGTTACAAACAAGTACGTAATTTTATCATCCTTCTTTATACCATTCCTTACTAGGCTTTGAAATTTGCAGTGTTCAGTTCGCTGATACCTTCACATTCCTTAGATGGGCTGAAGCCCGTAGCACCCGAACCCACATGCCACTACCTGCGGGTTCCACCCAGGCGGGTACTCGGGCACCCTCTACCCATGTCAGGCCCTATGTACGACCATATATCTGTCACGTAGTAGTGAAGAATGTATAGTCGGAGCTAGTTGGGTTATCAATCTATTCGAAACAGTGAGGATGCAAAAATGAGATACGAGAATTCAGTCGCACCGTATCTCGCAAGAGGCCAAGAACCAAGGCTAGATTTTCGAGACTCTGTCCCAGAGTGTACTGGGGAGAAGATAGAACTCGCCCAGTGCCATCTGGGTGCCTTTTGTACATGAAGAAAATCCACTGTTCTCCGCTGGTGACAACACCCCTGATGACAGATAAGCTATCATAAAGTTAGACTACGTCACGGAACATAGAACGACAGAGAGCTAACCCCTGCAATCGGCAATATGAAGCCGCAGCAATTGTAGCTCGAGATAGACCGACCTGAACCCTATCGAGATTGGCTTCGAAGATGTTGGACGACATTAGTTCCTGATTGTTTCGGAAATACGTCAGTGCTATGGTCGGATCGTCCAGGAGGAATTCTAAAGAACGATTCAATTCCATTCTAGTACGCGACAGAAAATGACTGACCGGTGTACCGAGCGGGGAGTTTAGTCACCAGGAAGTCGACGACGCCACTGAACGAACGTTTGGCAGACCCTTGGTTGAAGATCGTGCTAGGGATAGGGAATTCTGGAATTATGTTCACCGTCGTGGTATCCGGACACAAGACCGATACAACTCTCAACAAGAGTATGTTGATCAAGATGCGACATCCAGCTTCCGTCTTTGGAGTTTAAATGAATATACAGTCGATCATGGAAATCAGCCACCGTAACATACCACCGTTGCGACGTGGCCGCGCACTAAACTTATCAGAAATCGTGTTGTCTCAATCGGAAGACACCCTGGTATTTCGGTAAATCCAAGGGTTTCGACTTCTTGCCTCTTGTCGTTGGTCAGAAAAAGTGGACCAGACGATATCCCCAAAGAGAGGGAAACGTCCTAAGGAGAGGCTGATCAGCGCTGTGAACAATTCAGCGTCATTCACATCACCTTAACGTCTTCACGCGGTTCTCGGAGTTTATCGATCAGACCAGCAAGCAAATCCTTCAAGTTGTATACTTCATCAAGGTCAGAACGAAATTCCTCGAGCTTATGAAGCAATTCGGTTGTATCTTCTACAGTGAGGTCTCGTTTGGCAATGGGAGGCATGATGTCGACAGATGTGAGAGACATAGGGGTTATGTTTTTCTAACATATAAGCACGGCCGTCGGCTCGGTGTCAATAGTGTCCACTCCGTCATGGTGTACAGCACTGACGCACATACTATATATGGCGACCAGCTGTACACTTCACGGATTGGTTAGCATTCAAAATATCAGTACGACCATAAAAATTACTGGAGATACGACGACTATATTGCTTCCCTGACGTCTAGTGACTTAGCGAGTCCAGACTGGTTACGAGTCTAGGTAGATGACACGAATGACGGTATGATATACCTCCATGTAGTGGAACAGAGCGTGCTCCCGCTACCTTTCTTCCCTGTGCGGGGGCGAAGCACAGAGTTTAAATTTCAGCAGGTTCTGGTTCGTGCCGGTGATACCCATCATACGGTAGTAGAGTCTAGTGCGTCTAGACTCTGTATCTACATATTCTTGGCTCCGGCACACGTCTACAGCACCAATTGACATTGTTGTTTGGACGTACGAGGTCCTTGCCTTATATGGTATGAATTTGCAAATAGAGCGTGGTCACCCGGTGGTCCTGGCTTCCATACACTTGCGCTGCCAGCACCACGTATTACTTACTATGTGAACTGACACACGTACTATTGACAAACCATGTCGTCGCCCAATCATCTAATCATCATGATCGCCTTATATACAAACAGTTAACTGTGCCCGATATCTACCTTCAATGATTGTTTCTCCCTCTTTCTAGTTGCATTTATTTATTTCAGCACCATGGGTTTCTTCTCAAAGCCATTCGACCCAGTCACTGACCTCCCAGACTTGTCTGGTAAAGTCGTACTTATCACAGGTGGAAAGTGAGTATGTCACTCATCACACGGATTTTATTCACACAGCGGCTGTTTTGTAGCAGAGGTATCGGCTACTGGACTGTGAAGCACCTGGCACGTCGTGGTGCTAAGGTGTACATGGCCGCACGCAACCAAAGCAAGGCAGAGGAGGCGATTGAGCAACTGAAAGCAGAGGGACTGGGTCCTTGGAACGGCGATGTTATCTGGTTGGAACTCGATTTGAAGGACCCTCGAAATGCGAAAAAAGCAGCAGAGGTATTTATGAAGCAGGAGAAGAGATTGGATGTTCTCAGTCAGTATATGTTTTTGTTCGTTCACGATTTTGGCATGCTGAATGATTCACAGTTCACAATGCCGCGACGTAAGCTGTTCCGCTCGCATGGGCGTGATTGATACTGAATGCCCTATAGGTTGATTGAGAATTATGCCATGACGCCGGATGGTAAGCTTTGGTCTCGCTCCGTAAAGATCTACACTTACACAACATCCCAGGAATTGAGGAGACAGTGATGGTCAAGTGCATCTTCTGGGAAAAAACATGTACCAAGCACTCACCTATTCATTCCAGCGTCATCAGCCATGTCGCCCTTACACGCACCCTTCAACCGCTGCTGGACCAGACAGCAGCAGAACCAAATTCAGACGTCCGCATAGTCGTCGTATGTGAATATACTGCACCCGTGCACCCCGAAAACTCACAGTTCCATACTACCATCCAGGTCGCTTCATGCGGCTACCGGTTTGTATCAGGGAAACCTCGTTTCCGTAACCTTGATGACCTTAACAACGAGCTCAAGAGTTTGTTTTCACCCAGCTTCGCGCGTTATTGTACGTCGGTCGTCCATTGGTATATTTTGTCTCACGAAATTCCTTCACTAGGCTTGTCGAAACTCATGAATATACTCTATGCTTCTGAACTTCAACGACACCTCACCGCTGTTGGCTCTCCCATCACCGTTATCGCCATTCACCCTGGATCAGTCGACACCATCCGCCATCAACAACCCCTATCCCACATCCAGCTCATCCTCAAGTCCATCGTGTCCCTCTTCATTTTACAACCAGACCAGGGCGCATATACCTCGGTGTTTGCAGCTGCGTCGGAAGACGTCGCCAAGCAGCGTGAGAAGTATAAGGGCATGTATTTAACACCGGTAGGCAAGATAACACAGCTGACGAAGGTGGCGAGGGATGAGGGACTTGCAAAGGAGCTTTGGGATACTGTGGATAAGTTTTTGGAGGAGAGGGGGATTTGATGGAAGTCTTGTTTTATTCGATGAACTGAGATTGATGCATGACGAATAGCCGTACCTCCAGGAGGTGTTGAATGGACAAGGACGTTCATCTCAGCACTAAGTTATGATGGAACAATTATCCCTGTTGATGCATGGAACTTCTGTGACAGCTGTCGCATTCTGCCCGGACGGGAGACAGCACTACTGTGCTATAATCAGCCTACACAAACATGAAATAGACTTACCTACGTTGTCCAGAAGCGTTCTGAACATATACTGCCGGTAGTCCGCACGTTCTGGAGGCTAAACATGAGATTGCAACGTGTCACTAGCTTGTTCAGCTGTATGGTGGACGATAGGTTACGGTTCGATTTGCCGATTTGCCGCGACTTATTTTGAAGTCCGATCACTGTTTGTTCTCGTCTTTTGAACTATTTGTTAGTACACTCAAATATTGCCGTCACAGGAGGTCACAAAGCGGTTGTGTACTTACAATGGACATATCCTAGAACCTGAGCTTGAGTACCGACCGACCGACCCCAGCCTGACTCAGACGGACCTAGACGATGGAACGGAGCCATGGCTCAAATATGCAGCATCGGTAAGCCAGTTAGAACTTGAAGAGTGCAACTTGACATGCTTCTTCAATTGAGTGAGTCATCAGTGCACCTACTGCTTCGTTCACAGTCCACTGAGTCACGCCTATGTATAAGCAGTTAGTATCCATTCAATGATATGAACTTTGTTCACTTGCATCCCAATTTCATAGGCCTGACGTTCTTCACTAGATGCCCAACCCTCGAGAAAGAAATGGGTATCCCATTGCTCGTAAGTACATTGATTCCAGCGCTAGCAGCTCTCGCAAATTTAACGCATAAGTTTCAGCTTCAGACTGAAGCTATACGGCCGCTAGTGGAACAATTTGTTGCAAGTGGCTACACTAACCCAGAAATCATGTGGACTGCTTTGTAGGCCTTATCGATCAGCCAGCCAACAAGCCGGTCAGCAACCGCATCATTGGAATGATTTCACGAGTTGCATTTCTCATACGAGTCATTCCCTCGCACCACCATGATTGCGCCGCAGAGTGACGAGGAGACACCTCTTCTGCAACTACCAGAGCAGCCAACGGCCAAGACACCTCTTCCCTGGGATCGATTTTGGATTCTGCTGCTCTTGGAGGTGCCAGATTTTCTTTCTTCTCGGACCCTTGCCCCGTTTATACCCCAAGTGAGTAGTATATTCCCTTCGTTGGACTTATATCTGACCACAACTGGACTTTGTCAAGCTCATTAGAAACATTGGAGTCACTCACGGAGACGAATCCCAGGTTGGACACTATGCCGGCATCCTTGTAAGCATGTCTTCATCGTTTTTGCCCTTTCGTTCAGTCCATGATGCTATTCTCTCCAAGAATCATCGTACTATGCAGCTCATACCCTGACCATTTTTCATTAGACCACTCATTGGGGGATTGCTCTCCCGATCAGCAGTCTGGCTCGGGCCTATGGAATAGGTATGGCGATATGGCTGTGTGTTGTCGTCCAGCTTACGCTGAAGACCGGCCTGATCCTGTGCTCCCGTATGTTAATCCCAGCACTTCCTGCATTCTGTTGAACTGAGAAGAACTCATAGCCTGCATGATATTGTTCATCAGAGCAGCTGCTCCCAATCGCGCCTCGCTCGGAACGACCAATGGAATCGTTATGGTGGTTGTCGCAGTAGCAAAGATAATCGGCCCGGCATCTGCAGCTTCACTCTTCTCTTATTCATTGCAGGCGCATGATGTGTGGTCAATATACTTCTTTATTGCAATTGCATTTCTCGCTGTAAGTACTGCTCTATTGCTTCCCCGTGATCCGAGTGTATGGGGAATGACTGTGTACATTATGATCTGGTGTATCAACTATGTCCATTGTAAGTACACAACCGCTTGTGACTTCCTGTGCCAACTTGCTTCCCTGACAGTGACTTAGCGAGTCCAGACTGGTTACGAGTCTAGGTAGACGACACGAATGTCGGTATGATACACCTCCATGAGTGGAACAGAGCGTGCTTCCCGCTACCTTTCTTCCCTATGCGGGGGCGAAGCACGGAGTTTAAATTTCAGCAGGTGCTGCCAGTGGTCGTGTCCGGTGATACTCATCATACGGTAGCAGAGTCTAGTGCGTCTAGACTCGGTATCTACATATTCTTGGCTCCGGACACGTCTACAGCACCAATTGACATTGTTGTACATCATTTGGACTTCTTGAAGTGTACGAAGCTTGCCTTATCTGGTATGAATTTGCAAGAGCGCCGCGGTGGTCCTGGCCTCCATACACTTGCGCTGCCAGCACCACGTATTACTTACTACGTGAACTGACACACGTACTATTGACAAACCATGTCGTCGCCCAATCATCTAATCATCACGATCGCCTTATATACAAACGGTTAACTGTGCCCGATATCTACCTTCCATTCTTTCTCCCTCTTTCTTGTTGCATTTGATTATTTCAGCACGATGGGTTTCTTCTCAAAGCCATTCGACCCAGTCACTGACCTCCCAGACTTGTCTGGTAAAGTCGTACTTATCACAGGCGGAAAGTGAGCATGTCACTCATCACACGGATTTTATTCACACAGCTGCTTTGTAGCGCAGGTATCGGCTACTCGACTGTGAAGCACCTGGCACGTCATGGTGCCAAGGTGTACATGGCCGCACGCAACCAAAGTAGGGCAGAGGAGGCGATCGCGCAACTGAAAGCAGAGGGACTGGGTCCTGGAAACGGCGATGTTATCTGGTTGGAACTCGATTTGAAGGACCCTCGAAATGCGAAAAAAGCAGCAGAGGTATTTATGAAGCAGGAGAATAGATTGGATGTTCTCAGTCAGTATATGTTTCTGTTCGTTCGTGATTTCGGCATGCTGAATGAATCACAGTTCACAATGCTGCGATGTAAGCTGTTCCGCTCGCATGGGCGTGATTGGTACTGAATGCCCTATAGGTTGATTGAGAATTATGCCATGACGCCGGATGGTAAGCTTTGGTCTCGCTCCGTAAGGATCTGCACTTACACAACATCCCAGGAGTTCAGGAGATAGTGATGGTCAAGTGCGTCTTCTGGGGAAAAACATGTACCAAGCACTCACCTATTCATTCCAGCGTCATCAGCCATGTCGTCCTGACACGCACCCTTCAACCGCTGCTGGACAAGACTGCAGCAGAACCAAATTCAGACGTCCGCATAGTCGTCGTATGTGAACATGCTGCACCCGTGCACCCCGAAAACTCACAGTTCCATACCACCATCCAGGTCGCTTCAGACGGCTACCGGTTTGTATCAGGGGAACATCGTTTCCGTAACCTTGATGATCTTAACAATGAGCTCAAGAGTTCCCTTGCACCCAGCTTCGCGCGCTATTGTACGTCGGTCATCCATCGGTATCTTCTGTCTCACGAAACCCCTTCACTAGTCATGTCGAAACTGATGAATATACTCTACGCTTCTGAACTTCAGCGACACCTCACCGCTGTTGGCTCTCCCATCACCGTTATCGCCATTCACCCTGGAACAGTCGACACCATCCGCCCTAAACCAGCCGTATCCTATCTCCAGTTCATCCTCAAGCCTATCGTGCCCCTCTTCTTTGTACGTCCAGACCAGGGTGCATATACCTCGGTGTTTGCAGCTGCGTCGGAAGACGTCGCCAAACAACGCGAGAAGTACAAAGGCATGTATTTAAGACCGGTAGGCAAGATAACGAAGCCAACGAAGGTGGCGACAGATGAGGGACTTGCAAAGGAGCTTTGGGATACTGTGGATAAGTTTTTGGAGGAGAGGGGGATTTGATGGAGGATTTGTTTTATTGATGAAGACGAATAGCCGTACCTCCAGGAGGTGTCGAATGGACAAGGACGTTAATCTCAGCACTAAATTATGATGGAAAAATTATCCCTGTTGATGCATGGAACTTCTGTGACAGCTGTCGCATTCTGCCCGGACGGGAGACAGCACTGCTGTGTTATAATTAGCCTACGCAAACGTGAAATATACTTACCTACGTTGTCCAGAAGCGTTCTGGACATACTGCCGGTAGTCCGCACGTTCTGGAGGCTAAACATGAGATTGCAACGTGTCACAAGCTTGTTCAGATGACTCGGAATTCTACAGGATGTTCAGTGACCAAAAAAAACACTTGTCAATGATAGCTCTTATCGATAAGGTCAGCGGGCGGATCTCATGACGGGCCACCTCGGAGAGGGTATGATTCTGCATCACAGGTGACAAAATTGCACTCGAAAAAATGCGAGGATGCTGATATAGTTGTATTGTTGATTGTTAGTCCGTCACCGAAAACAGGCGAGGATCTCACTGCGGGAACTGCTCTGACGAGACGTGATAGCATAGTGAAACGTCCAGTTCTGTTAGTACTGTATTTGTTAAGCTGATTTTGGGGACATGGTAACCTTGCTGGCCTTCCCAGTCATGGGGTTGACAGTTGCCTAGATAGTCTCTAGTCAGGTGATCTGCAAGTCTCCCACGAAAGAATATCTACTGCTAGCACCCTTACGCTCTCTTAACCATTATCATCGCCACCGGCCATTCAATGTCTACTTCATCATGTCCTTCCACGGCTCTCCCATCCTCCCGTTCGGCACCCTCCTTAAGATCTTTCCAGAACCGCAATGCAACATCTCCACGCGGGTTCTCCGCATCCGTGGGGTTGTGCTGACGGAACGTATGCAACGAGCTCCATGTATTGAGATAAGATAGCAGGTCATCCCACGTCATCTTCTTGTGCAAGATCACGGAGCGTGAGGAAGGGAGAGATGGGTAGTGGTCACCTGCTATGCATCAGTACAGTGTCACGTATCAATAAGTTCAAGACAGACCTGTGAAGAAGACTCTCTCAAAGTCAGTGAACGCACCAGGTACAGCTTCATTGCCATCTGGCACCTCAACCAGGTGGTTTTCTAAAATCGAACGGCCGGGTTGCTGCCAGTATGGGCCAACGCTGTGCAGTGGATCGATCCCTTGGCTATAAGCGTTGATGTTCTGTGTAAGGGACGGATAGCGGGTGAAGCGGAACTCGGAATAAATCTAGGTCAGATAAATGTTAGGAATGACTGGACAAATAATGACTCGGAGATGGGAATACAAACCCAGAATGCAGCACTCCCGTTCTTCCTCAGCACCCTTGCGAGCTCAGGCCACATTTTGTTCCAATCGAACCAATGGCATGCCTGGGCTGCAACCACACAGACATCATGAACAAACAGTACTACCAGGTTTATCCTATCTAACACACGCACCAGCAATGACTAGATCGACACTGCTATCCTCCAAGAATGTTAGACTCTCTGCGTTCGCCTGTATGTACTCATATTGACCGGTGCTCTCTGGCGTATTCTTGAGGGTACCTTGAGCAACTTCGATCATCTTAGAGCTTGGGTCGACGCCAGTGACGCGCTTGAAGCGTGCGAGCTCGACTGTTGCTTGACCTGGAATCCCGAATGATCAACATTAGGTCGAGAGTCCAAGCCCTCCAAATTGAGCATAGTTAAAACTGACCCGTCCCACAACCAAGGTCCACTGCTCTATCCCATCTTGCACCCTCGTTGCGTTCGTGGTACTGGAATATGAAGTCAAACAGGGAGCTAGGGTAGGTAGGCCTGGAGGTCGCATAGATGGCGGTGTCGAAAGAGGAGTTAGCAAAAGTCGCCATCGCAGAGGCAGCGAATGTCCACGCAGTCAACGATAACGCTTAAGAACTATTCATGAGGACATACAGGAAATATAAATATCTCAAAGAGCATGTCAGATGGTCTTGAGATGACGGTCGATGTAAATATGGTCGTCGGTGCTATCGGAAGCACTTGGGGATCCGAGCAGGAGGTACCCGCTCGGGGGAAAAGTTATTAGGGAGCTCAGTATTAAAATTCCCAACGCCCAGAATAAGTGATCTTGTGCCAACGTACTTCGGCCGGGAGCACTGGCAGCAGGCTGAGTTGTGGAATGGAAGCCCAGACTCGTGAAGGAGATGACATTGATAAATAACAATTATTACGGGAGTTCAGAGTAGGCCTGCTGCCAGTGGTTGCTGCCGCACGTGAGCAGGCGGATGCTATATAAGCAAATTACACCACTGTTTTCACATTTGATCATTCTGCCTAAACCTCATCGCAACAATCATCCTACCAATACTCTAGACTTCACCATTCAGCACTTCAAAGTTCAGACCTACATCTCTCAATACATAACCAACCAATCAACTATTGAGATATTCATTCCAAATAAATATATCTTGTCACCCACGTGCAGCAAGAGCAAAAGTGAAGGTGACGGGCGGCCTACTCTGAACTTCCTTGTAATACAGGACTTCTGTCCAATAGGTGAGGTTTTCCAGAAATTGCAGTATAAAGAGGTGGCGAAAATGTATTCGTTGAATTTCTAGGCGCGAAGCTGGAGACATCAAAATCCAAAGCAAAAAGAATCAAGTGCAGTAAACAAGCTCATCTACACTCTGTATTCATAATGTTTACTATATACATAGTCGTGTAATGTTGTAGATCGGTTCATAGATTCACGTCCCGGATTACGTCCTGCCATTCATCAAGATGCTTCAACATCATCATGCATTTATTTCTAACATCTTTCTCTGCATCTTCTCCCAAGACGAGATACAATGGCCACTCCCTCCCAGCTGCAACGCCTTCTCCTCTTACGACGTCTGCGACGAATTTCATCGCCTTCATGGGGTCTCCTGGTTGCCTGCCACGGATAGCCTCATACATCACCTGTGTCTCCGCTCGCGTTTCATCATAATCAGGTATAGGATTCGTCCACGTGTCAAATTTATTGCTTAATATGTTTTCTGTGCGGAAGGCGCCAGGCTCGACGATCAGGAAGCGTATGTTGAACGGTGCGAGTTCTACGGCAAGTGTTTCGCCCATCGCTATAAGATTCTTCAGTGATGATGTGACGCGTATTGATTCAACGCGACTTACCCTGTACAGCTGCCTTTGATGAGGCATAAGCGCCTGCCAGTTGTGGCATTAATGGTCACCCACGGAAGAGCTTAAAAGACACGACTCACCAAGTCCCTGAAACAGACGTTGTTCAACCACTCTCAACCATAGATGATGCTACTCACCTTGATCTCAGGCCTCCAGGCGCTGCGACTTCCGATAATAACTACTGTACCACTCTTCCCTGCAGAGCTCAAAGTGTGTGTTGCATGCAAACCCGTGGAAACTTACTTTCACGCATATATGGTAATGCTGCATTCGTGACGTCCAGCACACCCAAGACATTAGGGCGGAATTGTCTTGTCAGGATGTCCACCCTGAAACCGATCAATGCATTAGGCACGGAAAAAGAACATGTCTATGTCCTACCCGCATTCCTCAAGGATTGCCAGCAGCCCAATACCCGCATTGTTCACCAACACGTCAATACTGCCCCACACCTTGGCCGCCTCATCTACGCGTTCCTTGATGACAGTCGTTCCGGAAGTCACATCGAGCTCTAGGAGGTGTAGATTTGGAGATTGGGGAAAATCTTGGATTTTCTGGAGAGACCGGGCCGTCGCGACTACGCGATCACCGCGTTCTAGAACGATTGATACTAAACGGCGACCAAAGCCTGATGATGTACCTAGATGATTGGCGTAAGCCGATGCTATCTCTGTATTTGATACGCACCATAGGGAATGAGAATACTCACCTGTGATAAGCCATACTTTGGGGTCAGACATAAGCGCTCTTACGAATGAAGGGCCTGATGTTTGGACTAGGAACGAGAAAGGGACTGTGTCTTGGATCTATAATGCTGCTAAATGAGTTCGACAGGGATTGATGGATCAAGAGAGATGGATTGTTCACTGTAAATACTGAAAGTAAGGACGTGCTTTTATATCTAAGTGAGTGGCTGTAGCGGTTCGACCGAAACACCATAGACGGTATAGTAGCACTTCAAACCGGTACAAAGTCCATAGCCGGTGGTACAAAGGGAGTTCCGTAGTCAGCGAAGTAACGTTCCTTACAGATCAAAAGACTCTGGGAGATTACTCGATGGGAGAGCAATTGATGCGGCGGTTGAAACGGAGGGGAACGTGTATGATCAACTTGGGCGCGTAACGAGAAGTGAATCAGACGCCTTGATCATACACGTAACGTCGACGACGACGTGACCCCGGCTTGGCTCGAAAGCCGCGGCTTTGGCCTGGCTCTGGCCTGAGCGCTCTGAGCCACGGCCCGAGTACTGTAAATGCAAAATCACAGGTATGGGTCAAGATATGAACTTGAAGTGCTCACCAGCTGGACGGAACACATCAGCATTTGTGAATGGGTAAGGATATGTGCAGGCAGACAGGGACAAATGAAAACATGCATCAACGAACGCAGACACCAACACATAGACTGGTGACCAGCCCGTCTAATGAGGCAAGCCGTTGATAGACGGACTGGTAAGAGATTGAATTTGGATCAAGAGCGGATTGTTCGAGTAACGTGAGGAATAAGCCTGTTTAGGAATATCAAAACCACGTGAGCTTTTGCTAACTCATTGCTAAGTCTCGTATATTGTCATTTGTGATCGACGTCGACGTTCGAGTACGCTCGGTTGCCAGCTACCGGGCAGCTTCATCCGTCCACCCCTTCATGTTACTTTCTGCTAGATGTGTGACGGTAAGTGTAAAGGCAGAGGTTATAGTGAGACGGATGATGCAAGAATGATAACGGAGCGTTTCGAGAGGTTGACTAAAAGAAATGTATCCGCGTGACTCGGATACGAAGCGTAAAGCTTGTTCGCATCAGTGAGTCACATGGACTATTGCGAACGCTGGTTCTATGAGGTGCGGGCCGTGTGTAGAGGATAGGCAATCCTTACACATCCATCAGAATACAATACCTAATGGCAATCACAATGTGCGCAACGTCAGAAGGGGGCTACTTACCAGATAGCGTGAATTCGCTCCTCCAATTTCTTCATGTTCTCAAATTCTTCTTCAGAGCCCACTTCGAAACCGCACGAGTCGTGAAAGATGAAACCGGGATTGCTTTTGAACACCATTTCGTTTTCGATGTCGTGATTTCCATGCTGAGCGTCTATCAGCACATGTATTCCCTCAGGGCAAATGGTTGGTACACACACCCTGATCGAGGATTCCGCGACGGCAGCATCGATCTACCCACAATTGATAAACGATATCCTGTGCATGATATAGATCCTCACTCGCACCTTATTTCCTTTGGTATCGTAGATTTCTGGGTGCTCCATGGTGTTGCAGACCTTCTGAAGGATGGTTGTTTTGCCTGCGTTTGCTCTCCCTAAGATCAGAACTCGAAAGCACATATATCGTTCTCTGAGATCCTGGGAATCGATGGTTGCCATTGGGAGATCTTGATGTGCGTCCTGAATTTGGTTTATCGTGAAATATGCACCGTCGTACAGAACGAGATTGTGGTGAGATATGACAGCGAACGAACACGAAGCAAGCGTTCCTGTGGCTTATGACAAAACAGCTACACACAGCGTCTACCTCTTGTCTATCTCCCTGCGTTAGGCAACTGATGATACCCTCACAGAGGCACGAAGTTGCAACTGTTCAATTGTTCATACGATAAAGCACAAGAATTACACAATAAACGATGCCAAATGATGAGAACGTTGATCAATATATAAACTATAATGAACAATCAGGATGTAGCGGAAATGATAGAATATCCCTCTTCCCTACCCGTCTGGCTAAAAAGTAGTGATGTCGGAAACCTCTGTAGATGGGGGCGAGCTCTATCCTCCAAGGTCTGCCGGATGATTGATCCTTGAGATGTATGAGAGCAAACAAGAGCCAAGGGCAAGTCAGGGTATGGCGCTCCCTCTGGAATGGGTGACATCTCGTGGTGCTTGACAGGGTCTGCACGTTTGGAGTCCCCCGGAAGATGATGGTCCGGGGATGAACTAAGGAGTGACGGAGCAGCAGGTTTCGCACGTGCTGGTTGAACTTAAACGTCGACCACAGCTAATGCAGCGGGCCGCGGCAGCTTGTGTATAGCTTGGGGCAGGTTTGGTACGCATTCCCAGACGAATTCGACTGTCCAACATACTGTATAAATTGACATATATATTTTCAAGTGTCGGGGAAGACGTACCGGCCAACATACACTTAGATTCGGAGGGCCGGCGTGCGGCTTACTGTCCGCCCAAGAATCCTTAAATACTGACTCCTGAAAAGAATGGACAAAGCTTCTTGTAGCTTCGAGAGTTGCATATAGTAGCATCCGGTCCTGTGCACCACCGTTTAATTGGGCCCTCCTTCAAATTTTCCCGCCCTGGTACCTCATTGATGTCATTCAGGCCGACTCCTTCTCGGTTCGTAGCGAGCTCCCTGTTGTCTTTCGACAGCATCGAGATCATATTGAGATCATATACCGTCAACGGTCGTGATGTAAGTGATGAAGTACATGACCCTGCGCCTGGAACGCACGAAATAGTATGCTTTGGCAAGAATACAGTTTGAGAACTCGCGGCACAAGCCAAGACTCACTAATTTGAAAGATATCCGTGACTACATGCCTTGGATCCAGCCATTTCTAAAAAGGTCGAAAAAGCTGCGGGATGTAGTGCTGAGTGCTGAGTGTTGAGTGTTGAGTGCTGAGTGCATGGTATGGGCCTGCTACTTCCTGCCAGTGCGGTGAAAATCCTCCGGGTGGCCCAGTATGCGGCTATGCATTTTCGTGGATATAGTGAATAAACCGGACAAACTTGAAGCAACTGTTGTATCCGTAGGGTGTTGTAATAGCCCTTCTCGGAGTCCGCGAGCAGTAGACCTAGTGACTTCAGAAACTGTGGTGCTGAATTGAAATACCGTATACGGAGTCGGGAGTCGGGACTTTCTATTTTGGTCGTAACTCGAGTCTATGTACGTAAACGTTTTTACAATAATTCAGTTATAAACAACGTCCTTGGACGTCCCTGCCGACGAATCCAGCCATTTCCTCTAGTGTCATGTCCAGCTGAATTCTGCGGGTATGAATGAAGTTCAGTAACGTTGATTATGGTACCGTCGGTTCGTCACTGAGGGTCTCTCTGCAGCCAGGGGAATTATTCTGATGAGACTTTGCAGTAAGAGCATAGTGAAACGTTCAAGCCCGTGTGTTCTTTTAGTGGTGCATTTGATAAACTGATCTTGGAGACATAACAACCTCGCTAGTCATCCGAATCGTGGTATTGCCAGTACTTCACCCTACACAAGTAGTCTCTAGTCTGATAATTTACAAGCCGCCAACAAAGGGACATCTACGGTCCACCCTCTAGCGCTATCACGCTCTCGTAGCCATTACCACCGCCACCGGCCATTCAATGTCTACTTCATCATGTCCTTCCACGGCTCTCCCGTCCTCCCGCTCGGCACCCTCCTTAAGATCCTTCCAGAACCGCACCGCAACATCTCCACGCGGGTTCTCCCCATCAGTGGGGTTGTGCTGACGGAACGTGTGCAATGCACTCCACGTATTAAGATACGATAACAGGTCATCCCACGTCATCTTCTTGCGCATGATCACGGAGCGTGGGGAAGGGAGAGATGGGTAGTAGTCGCCTGCGATGCATTAGTGAAACTGAAGTGTCGCGTAACGATATAAGACAGACCTGTGAAGAAGACTCTCTCGAAATCGCTGAACGCGCCAGGTACAACTTCATTGGCATCTGGCACTTCAATCAAGTGGTTATCTAAAATCAAACGGCCGGGTTGCTCCCAGTATGAGCCAATGCTGTTCAGTGGGTCAGTGCCCTCGACATAAGCGTTAATTATCGGTGTGAGTGATGGATAGCGGGTGAAGCGCAATTGGGAGTAACCCTAAGTCAAGTAAATGGTAAGTGTGACAGGACATGTAATGGCTCGGAGATGGGAACACGTACCCAGAATGCAACACTTCCATTCTTCCTCAGCACTCTTGCGACCTCAGGCCATATTTTGTTCCAATCGAACCAATGGCATGCCTGGGCTACGATCACAGTCATCGTGAACAAATAGCAATTTCTCCTTCGAACATGTGGCACACACCGGAAATGACTAGATCCACGCTGCTATCCTCCAAGAATGTTAGATTCTCTGCGCTCGCTTGTATGTACTCGTATTGACCAGTGCTCTCTGGGGTACTCTTGAGGGTACCTTGAGCAACTTCGATCATCTTAGAGCTTGGGTCGACGCCAGTGACGCGCTTGAAGGGTGTGAGCTCGACGGTTGCTTGACCTGAAATCCCGAGTGATCAACATTAGGTCAAGTGTCCAAACCCTCCAAATTGAGGGCTGCTAGAACTGACCCGTCCCACAACCAAGGTCCACCGCTCTATTCCATCTTGCACTATTGTTGCGCTCGTGGTATCGGAATATGAAGTCAAACAGGGACCTAGGGTAGGTCGGCCTGAAAGTCGCATAGATGGCGCTGTTAAAGGAGGATTTGGCGAAAGTCGCCATTGCAGAGGTAACAGGTGTCCACGTAGTCGACGGGGGCACTTAAGGACTATTCACGAGGATACACGGGGCATATAAATACTCCAAAGAGCGTCTAATTGGTATTGAGATGATGGCTGGTGACATGAGGTCGTCGGTACTATCGGAAGTACTCATGTACGTATCGGGCACCCCCTTGAGATAGAACTTCCAAGGAGCGACTATCAAGGAGCTGAGGTCTGGAGACCTCGTCGGGCAGTCGGGCCTTAGGATTTTGCCACATCGTCCATAGAGATCTTGGATTACCGGGGTATGATTATTGATTACCGTGACAGCAGTTTGAGAAAGTAACGTCACTAGTACTGGTGAGAGCACCCAAAGGGAAATCCTGAGTCAAAGTATGACACTAGCTTTCCCGAATCCCGAATGTACAAGATTGACAAATAACAAGACTTGTTTTCTTCTGCACAGTACGTACATTCCTCGCAATGAAAGACTTCTGGTGCCCTCCGCTGCACCACTGTTGGGAAACCTCATGTATATACATACATACTCAGTCCTACAATCTAGTCCGACAACCGTACTTCCACCTTGGTGCCTCTTGGTCAAAACACGACGAGCTGTCGCCACTCAAGTCACATCGTAAGATAAACTGAGATAAAGATTAAGCACGATATCGGGTGTATACAGTAAGGTAACTTCTATTCAGAGGTATATTACTTACAAGACCATGTCAGAGTTTGCTGCTCTATTGCTTATCATTCTCCGGCGCAAAGGGCCAATCCGAATAACCCGCTGGTGTGAGATTACCGCCCATGTACCATGTTGCTTGGTCACCCCGCTCAAGTGCGATACCCTTTCGCAGGCGGAATGGAAGATCAGGCTAGTAAAGAGCATATGTTGGTCACTGCCTAGTTTAGAAAACAAATGACTCACGTTCGGCATAAACAACCTCCCAAATCCAATAAGGCCGCCTTTCTTGTCTACCGTCTCGATTGCGGTGTTCCGGGTATATCCGTTTGTGCTGATGAACGTACTGCCCTCAACCCCTTGCCAGATATCACGCAGGAAATCGCTGTTCTTTTCAGCAGTGACTTCAGCAGGCATTGGCTCTACGACGTGGATGTATGCGAGTTTGTGTTTGCGCAGGTGCTCAACCAGGTAGGAGAACTGAGGTTTGGGGTCTGCCATGCCCATACCTGCACCACAAATCGGCTAAATAAAGATCGCTAGTATTGAATAATGTGACACGTACCACTGAATGTGCCCCAGGGGCTCATTCGAAATCCCGTCCTCTCAGCACCAATGGCCTCCACAACGGCATCCGTTACTTCGAGTGCAAACCTTGCACGATTCTCGATGCTTCCGCCATATTCATCTGTGCGGTGGTTACTGACATCTTGTATGAACTGGTCAATCAAGTAGCCATTTGCGCCATGAATTTCTACGCCATCGAAACCAGCTAGAATGGCATTTTTTGCGGCAGTGGCATACGTGGCAACGTACTCCTTGATTTCATCCGTGGTGAGTGCGCGTGGCACGTCTGTTTTTCCCGAGAGGGGAATGGGTGAGGCACTGACGTGGGGACTATTGTCCTCCTTGGCAAGAACGGCTGTTTCTGCGGTGCGGCCGAGCGCCCAGAGTTGTAGGAAAATGAAAGAACCCTTCTCATGGACTGCTTCTGTTACCTGCAATCCACAACGTGAGTCAGCTCTCATCATTATTAAGCAAGATACAACATACCTTTTTCCATCCCTCCAGATGGGCATCGGTGTATATCCCAGGGACATTATCATAACCACCAGCGCTCTGAGATATGAATGTGCCCTCTGTGATAAGAAGAGTGCCAGGGGTAGACCCTCTCTGAGAGTAGTACGCTGGTGCTTGTGGGGTTGGGACGTGGTCTGCGTGTGCGCGTATACGGGTAAGTGGGGCAAGGA